ACAATGCTCTGGTGTGCCAGAGCTGCCTTTGTAAGGAGCCATCCAGGGATCACAGCCGGGAGGTTTGGATTTGATGACTTTGTTCCTATTAGCAGTGTTTGTACTTAGGTTCACGAAATGAACATCCTGTACCGAGCCTAAGAAGATGGCTTGGAGGTACTTTTAATGGGCAGACAGTGGTCAAAGACAAGGTTATAAAAGACTAGATGTGGCCTGAGGGTTTAGTTTTGGAGAATATTAATAACAGTGATTTAGGGAGAATAACACACAGACCATTCTGGGCTTTGCAGTTTCAAAGCCTGGTTGTTACTGGTGTCCAGGATTTGGGGGCACAGTCAGGCCAGAGCCAAGCTGTGCTGTGCCAGCATGGCTGGGGAGAGAGCAGAGAAAAGGCAAGGACAGACCTTTGTTGGCTCCAGGACACCAACACAGAGAGAAGCTGTACCTGAGCCATGGGTCAGATATTCTCCTGGTAAGAACAAGAGAAGAGGAGACTGTTAGTGTCCACGGCACGCAAGTGTCCCGCAGGTATGACCACTTCTCCTGCACAGGAACACCAGCTCCAAGCGATGCTGCTGAAGCACAGTACCTCCCTCTGTAACGGCAGCACAGCTCAGCTTCCTGAAATGGCACCGACAAGGGAAACAACCTTGTGAGGCTCTCTGTCCGTTCTGCATCACCACAAACAGCTCGTTTTCTCGGCTGTTGATTTTCTGTCTGTGCACTTGATATGACCTACGCAGCTTTCCTAAGTCTTTGTAATCAAGTATCTTCTTCCTCTTTGACAAGACTAAATGGATGGTTGGATTGGCAATTCGTTACTGAAAATGAAATAGGACTATGAAATAGTCTGTGTTCACACAGGTATGCAAGAACTCGGTGAACGGGCAATGAACGAAGCAAGAGAACCAGTAGAGAAAACAGTCCTTGAATCCAGTTCCACTCTCATTTTTTCAGGGACAGGAATTCATTATTTGGTCTCAAAGTTTAGATATTTTATGTTAATGAACTGACATGGCACTTAGGAAGAAGAGAGCTTCTGTTACGATTGTTAAACTGCCACTTTCTGTCTTTGTTCAAATTACAATATTTGCAATTTTCTTTTAAAAGGAAAAGCTCGCCTGTTTGAAGTCCTGGATACTCTCTACCAGGAGCTGACAGCCTGCGAGCTCTTACAAAGCCAGCCTCCGGAGCAGGCGCAGAGTGGCCGGTCCCTCTCCAACCCCGGGTCATCTCGTGCTGAGCAGCAGTGCCAGCCGAAGAGCCGCCCTCCTGCATTCCAACACACGACCAACGGGTGAGGTGTGTCCAATTCAGCGGAGCTCGGTGATGGAGAAGAGTACCGGAATAATTTGGCCATGAAATCAAAGGTAGGCTTCTTCTGGGCAGAGCGCCGGTCCCTCAGCTAACGCCGAAGCCCCTGTTCCCGGGCTGAGCATCCACACGACGCGAGGACTGCGTAGCAATGGTGGTCTGTGGTGGAAGCCTAACCATCCTTGTACGACGGCTCTGTAACCGCGCCGGTTAGCCAAATAAAAGCCATTCTGACTACACTGACCTGACCTACTTAGATTTACAGCCCTGGCTACACACCAGCTGGGCACAGGTCCTGGCTTTTCTGGTAGCTCAGTTCAAAAGCAAAAGGCAGCCTGTGTTATCCCCGGGAAGCAAACCGCTTCCTTCGCACGCCAGTGACAAAATGACGGTGTTAATCACAGACACGCACACGAGCGCAGTCAGCAGTGCGAGTTGTAAGGGCTCACGTATAAAATGAGTTTCTGCGTGTCTGTGATTCCGTTATTCACTTTATTTAACTCTGAAGTTAGATTTGTTATTGCTCTGCTGAATTTTATCTCTGCAGTTATAGATATGCCTTAGAAATCTGCAACAGTCTTTCCTGACAACAGTCTTAGATTTTACATTAAAAGTTAAATTCAACTGCTTGAAAAAGGTACAAACCGATCTTGTTCCCAAGCTCACCGGGCAAGGAAGGGCTGAAAAATTCCCTTTGCAACAGGTGCCGTTGTTGCATTAGCAAGCAGCACATGCAGCACACGACCTTGTTCTCTCATTTAATTTTCCTCAGTGTAACTGCAGAGACACAAAACTAGGCCCCACTTGCACACAAATTAATGTGAAACGCCGGGCCTAATCAAGGTGCCAAGTAACTTTTTGATCAGCAATAAAATAATTCCTGGGGGCAAAAGTAAAACAAATGGGCGGCTTCCAAGATGCTTTTGCCGTTTCATTCAACTATCAAACACAGAAACTGAAGAAGCAGAGTTCTTAAATGATCCAACTGAGTTTATGGGATTAAAAAATGCACTGTAGATCTCTTAAGAATGTGAAATTATTTTCCTGAGATATTGCCAGCAATGAAATAAGACCATTTGATTCAGAACTGCACATATATGAATTTTTCCCATGACAATGGTTTTCATACAGGAATAAGGGCCGTATAACAATGCAGTCTGGGGAAGAAGAACTCCATTCCTTTCTATCTATCATACACTCTATAGCTTACACACACCTCCCTCCAAAATTGGGGTATGTTGCTCAGCATTTAGAGCCATGTTGGTAACAAAAATGTGCAAGAGATATTTCATTTTGGAGGAGGATAAAAAGGTGTTTTCCAAACAGTGGAACAAACTCTGTTCAATGGTGTTTTACCTGGGAGGGGGTGTCTGGTTTATCAGAGGGAGATTTTATGAATAGATATATATTTTTAATGCTGATTTTTCATAAAGATAAATTAGACAGGACATATATATGTAGTGCAATATTCACCCTGTAAGAATAAAAACTGTATGCTAATACTAAATATAATACTACTGTAATACTAAGCATAATGTAATATTACTTTAGTATATACTAAACTATACGATAATACTATATACTACAAAATCTATAGACTAAATGGGCAACAGACAAAAATCAAAATGAGCAGATGTCACTTCCCTTCTTGGGTTCATTTTCTAAAAAAAAAGCATCAGCTTATGTTTTGTGCAGCTCTCTGACTTTCCCAGGAATACGACATATGTTTAAAGAGAGACAACGCCAGCAAATCATTAAATAAGCACGGTCTGTGTGTCAGAAGCGACACTTGAGGAACAGCATTATAACGCAAGCACACACCTGATGATGGACACCCTCATGCACGCCAGGATTCTTTATCATGCAAATTAATATTGCTCACTGTATCCGCTCTCTCTCTATACACATGTATATGTGCATATATACACTTATGTATACCTTAAGATTGCTATGCTAATTGTATACTTTTAGTATCTTTTTCACCACTACGTTTCTGCTTCGCTTTCTGATCTATTTCTAGAAATCGAGACTATTAAGCAAACAGACTAGAGGACCCACAGAGGTCCCTTCCAACCCCTACAATTCTGTGATTCTGTGATGTCCTAGCGCCAAAACGGGGGAGCAGCAATGCAATCCGAGTACTGCACAGCTTCTACAAACAGCAGTTGGGCTGTAACTGGAAACTAGAAAATGTCGCTGGACACCTAAACTGGTGTTAAGGAAGATGGAAACAGTTGAGAAAAAAGGCAGCTTCATGTGGCTAAATAAACAGCATTTAACTGATATAAGAAGCAGCAAAATCGTATATTGCTAAATTAGCTTCAAATACCGTAACATTTTTAGTTCTTTAAGAAATGCCTGTATCAGAAACGTTTTTGATACCTCAGCATATGCTGATTAATCTTTTAATAATAAAAGCTGATTGTTTTAACTCCAAAAAGCAATTAATATGGAGCAAGTCAGACTTACAGTATTCCCATGAGAAGAATCTGTTCTTCAGGATGGATCAGGAAACACAGCCCTCAGTCAAATTCTTGCTGGAAATCAGAGGCAAAGCAAAGCACAGTACTTTGTCAGTTCTTCTTCGGTGACCTCAGCATTGATTTTTTTTCTTAAGTATATTTACCTTAATGTTTTATGCTGAGCCTGTCAGCAGTGTTGCTGAGGCTGCTAAATATTTCATATGAACCTGTATAAATAGGTGATTTTAAATGAAGGTAATTGTTTAAAATTCTAGCTCTGCCTCAAAAGTTTGATTCGCTACACAGAACATGTTCAAAAGAACCTGCACAGTAATCCTGGGGAGAAAAATCAAATCTCCAGGTTTATTTAAAGTCCTAGCTCCTGAAGTCAAGTGATTACTGCAGGTTTCAGCTACCTTTTTTCTACAGGGAGCATATACCAAGTTTAAACTGACTTTGTGTTTTGGCTTAGCCTGGCTGGATGCCGGGTGCCCACCGAAGCCGGTGTCTCTCTCCCCCTCCTCAGCTGGGCAGGGCAGAACAAGGCTCGAGGGTCGGGACAGGGACGCGGAGAGAGCACGCACCAGCTGCCGACACGGGCAGCACAGACTGAACTCGGGGGAAGAGCTTAACGGGTCACCAACCCGATCAGAGCGGGACGATGAGAAATCAAACCAAATCTTAAAAACACCGTCCCCCACCCCTTCCCTCTCCCCGGGCTCAGCTTCACTCCCGAATTCTCCACCTGCTCCCCCCGAGCGGCGCAGGGGAGGGCAATGGGGGCTGCACTCCGACCATCGCACATTGGCTCTGCCGCTCCTGCCTTTTTTGCCATCAATAATAAATTATATTCAGGAATAAATCCCAAACATGGAGGAATGCAGTAGGAAAAAAAAATAGTTTCTGCAGTATTACCTGGGAACCTCAGCCATAAACCTGGGCCTCCCTGGGGTGCATCCTG